AAACAACGATGCCATGAGAACTTTGGTTGGCCTATCTAAACTTCCCAAATTACATTCTTGTTATGACCCCCCCCTTGGCCCCCCCCCCCCCCCCCCCGCAGTGCACCACTAGCAAAGAATGACTGATAAGCATTAAAAAACTTGTACAGTTCAGTTTATGATGTAAAGTAGGTCTAAGGTCAATTTCAAGGCCAATTAAAGTAAGATTACCAGTATATGACTTCTTATTCAAATTCAATAGTAACTATGGACCTATCTCTGCCAGTTTTGGAGATAAAAAGGAACCAAAATTTGAAAGTTCAATTCATGATGAAAAGCAGGTCAAAGGTCAATTTCAAAGTCACACTTAGATTGCTAGTATTTGACTTCCTATTCAAGTTCAATAGTAACTATGGACCTATCTCTGCCAGTTTTGGAGATAAAAGGGAACGGAAATTTGCAAAGTTCATTTCAAGGTGAAAAGTAGGTCAAAGGTCAATTTTAAGGTCACAATATTCAAATTCAATAGTAACTATGGGCGTATCTTTGCCAGTTTTGGAGATGAAATCATGAAAGGGAATGAAAATTTGCAAAGTTCAGTTCATGGTGAAAAGTAAGTCAAAGGTCAATTTCAAGGTCACAGTTAGATTGCCTGTATATGACTTCCTATTCAAGTTCAATAGTAACTATGGACCTATCTCTGCCAGTTTTGGAGATAAAAGGGAACGAATATTTGCAAAGTTCAATTCATGGTGAAAAGTAGGTCAAAGGTCAATTTTAAGGTCACAGTAAATTGCCTCTAATGACTTTCTATTGAAATCCAATAGTAACTATGGGTGTATCTTTACTTTTGGTGATAAAAGGGAACGGAAATTTGCATAGTTCAGTTAATAGTGAAAAGTAGGTCAAAGGTCAATTTCAAGGTCACAGTTAGATTGCCAGTATATGACTTCCTATTCAACTTCAATAGTAACTAAGGGCCTATCTCTGCCAGTTCTGGAGATATAAAGGACTAAATGTTACAATTTTGGAGTTACAATAATGTACCATAAATTTCGTACAAAAAAAAAAAAAAAATTGAAATAAATAAAAGGCCATTTTGGTTGAAATTCTTGAAATGGTAGGTAGTCAGAAGTTCAAGATGTTCAAATTTCATGAAATAATGTCATTTTTGACCAGAAGTTGTCTGCCTTGTGTTTTATTTTCCTAGGTTCAAAATTTATTACACATTACCGTATTGCACATTTTGCTTTTACCACCACAATGTACTTTTTGATACAGCATAACTCGTAAACTGTATGGAATTTAAAAAAAAGGAGACCACCTTCAGTGTTGGGCTTGACATTCTCTACAATATGCAAAAAAGATTAGGTCTCTAGCATCAACGGTTCCCGAATTAGAGACAGTTTCAGTATCTTATGGCCGCTACTCCCCTGAAAATGCACCAATTGACCCCAAACTAATGGAGACAAAAGATGACCTAAAGGGTAACACCTTCCAATAATATTATAGGTTAGGTCTGTGTAGTTTCTGAATATCAGTGCAAATAATTTTTTTTCGTAAAAAAATTCACCTATTTTGACCCATTTGACCTTGAAATAAAGGTCAAAAGTCAAATCCAAGGGCATATATAACTTTCAGTCAGCTGTCTGTAGAAATTTTTCCCATAATTCCTTCATTAGGGTAGATAATTAGAATTTAATTTTGCCATTTTTGGACAAGGGTGCGTTGCAATGAGCGCCACACACCTAGACCCCAGCACCGACAAAGCCCAAATTTTACGTGGAACAGTTGAGATACTATAGGTGACCTAAATCCAAGAGATGGGTACACAGACCCTTACTGTCTAGCAGGAGAAGCGGTAATGGTAACATGGCGGCAGAGCTGGCAGAACAATATGGAAGGGACTAAAACCATGTGTACCGCCAGCGCCTACACTGGTGGTACAATAATGTATTTTATTATTTTAAAAAATAATTTCCTGTCCAGTGTTTGTATACAGTATATAAGTGTAAATGTTGTTTTTTCTACAGGTAACTATAGAAACCTCTAGAAAGAAAATGATAATTTGAGGACTGTTTTCATAAAAATATAGTGAAACAGACTGTGCTGGGAACTAAAAAACAAGTCACAGATGCTTTATGAAATGATGCTGATATGCAGACCACTTTATCCAAGAAAGTAATTGACAAAGTGGGGAAAGAAGTTGCGGATCTTTGTGTAACCTTCAAACCAAGAATTCTTAGGACTACAGATCCCCTTGCACTTGTCTCTGTCACCCCATCTGCTGTTTGCAAAGAAATACAAAAGAGTGCTCCCACGTTTTATGCTATGCTTGAGACCATTACAGGTTCCCAAAAGAGCAAAACTTACACCCCATTTCCATAGATTAGATCGACCTACTTTAGATCAACCTAACTCCCTGGGGGTTCACGCTAAATAGCTGTCAGCCGTGCGAAACGAAAGTTAATTACCCCCTTTACAGCTTGTAGTAGGTGGGATGGACATTTAAGTCGGATTATCTGAAAGTAATCTAGTGAGACTCCCCGCGGGGATAGATCGATCTAAAATCTATGGGAATAGAGCCTTACTTCTTAAAGGATAGTGATGAGTCCATCCACTGGAGCAGGGAGTTTATAACTTATAACAGGGAGGTGATCAGTTAATCATGTCTACTAATGAAAGGATAGTGAGGTGTCCATCAACTGGGGCAGAGAGTGTAGAATAAGAGAGGTGATCATTTCACGTCTACTAAAGGAAGTGATGAGTCCATACACTGGGGAATAGAAGGGAGGTAAAGGGTTGTAAAAAAAAATCTTAAGACCCCCCCTTCCCATAAAAAGTAATTTTATTGTGCTTTGATGCTAGAATCCTGAAGATTTTCTCTCAAATCACAAAATAACAATGTTTCAGCTGTAGCAGATGAGAGATACTCAGTAGAGAGCTCAACTCTTAAACAGCAAGGCCATTCATGAGAAAGTAATGACAGTTTAATTCAATAATTATTAAAGTGGATCATTCAATCCGTAATCATCCAACCTAAATTAATTTCTACTTGTGTACTCATTTTCATTGAAATATCTATAATTATGAAAACATTTGTGTGCATTAAATGTTGTTGTGGCGAAAAATATAATGTATGTAATATCATTGAATTAACTGATTTATTCAACAAAAGTTTTTCCTACCTATGAGCACAGCAAGGAGCCAAATTAGAACGACTATGACGTGACCACTGATATAACTCATTGAGAGATTACTCTTCTTAAATCTTTGGCAAAAAATGGTCATGCAACATGCTGGCTTCACTGCATCATCTTGAACTGAAAGTGAAAAGATACTGTACCTCTTAAAAAACTAAAAGGTACCCATAACATATAATAATAAGTGATGTGTACTGTCAAAGCAACTCGCAAACATTAATCTGCAAACTTTAATTCATCAATTGGTGTCTCGGATGCCAGTTTCCCTGTCACTGAGTGTTACTAACTTACTGTCAGCCACTGGCACTGGTTATTATTTTAGACATTTTACGAAACTGGTGAGAAAAAGGTGTAACAGCTTGAATTAACCCCAAAAATGCGCATGAATTGCCACAAAATATCAACATCGTTGAAACTAATATCAGGTTTAGATCTACTACCTTGTTGCTAAAATTTTGGCAACTATAATTTTGGTAAGAGCATTTTCCATCGTCTGCGCCGTGTTCAGCTTATATTGACGATAGGTGGCAGTATGAAAGATAGCTTTCAATAAAATCCCAAGCTAAAATGTTGGTTAATTTCTAAAAAAGTAACAATACCGCTGAACCATAAGAGGTTTTATTGTAATCCAAACAAAATACCCATCCCAATGCGGTATTTGCGGTAAGCGTGCCAAGTTATAGTTTATTTTTGCATTGTATTGTGGATTAATGTGGCAGTCCAAGGTTGTCCTAGGTGGTTTTCAAGTTTATGCACCCGGTTTTTATATCATTTAGCGATTTTACGACAATCGTTTACTTTCCAATCAAGGTGACAGCCGAGCGTGCTTCCAACATTTGTATCCGCTGACTTTTTAGGTCACTATCTAAATTCCTATATATATATATATATATATATATATATATATATATATATATATATATATATATATATATATATATATATATATATATATATAATTTGAGACAAATAACCGGGCAGTTCCCAGATCGCTTTGCTCACTATTTCAACAAATTTTGATGGCAACGAAGACTGCCCTGGGCGTTCCCCAGGGGGGTCAATGGGAGCACTTGACCCTCCCCCCTGAATTTTGGAACTGCATTTTTATTGCAGGTATCCAGCCAATCATTATCTCCCCCTATGACATTGACCCCCTGGAAAATATTCTGCGGACGCCCATGAAGACTGCCCTTTGTCGGGCGCCGTGCCTAAGGATGAATGCGCCGTGACGTTGAAGACGCCGGAATTATTATCAAACTTTCTCTGCCAGTGTCTGTGAGTCTATAAATTCCTCATGAGAAGAAATGTAAGATGGTTAATTTTCTATTACTTCCCCTGTAAAATGCCATTAAATAATTTCTCAAGTGGGATATCTGTAAAATATGTGAAGTCGAAACGCTACACTGAAAATGAGATTACGAGACTGAAAATATTAGGCCTACATAGCAGCAATTTGAGACTTTGTAAAACGTAATCTAGGTTTTATTTCGGTGAGATGGGAGTACATCTGGACCATATAGGCCCTACCATAAAGTGAAGGACGCATATTGTAACGATTGTGTCAGTTGTGCTCTAGATGTTCTCAACACGATGCAATGTGCTTGTGACTATTTATTTTACCAACGGTAACTACGGTTTCAACTCATCAGGGTACACAGCTTTTATACTTTGTCATGCTTGTTGTGTATCATTATGGGGCGTATACTCAGGTACATGTATGCAGAAATGTTAGCTTGCGAGGTTTAAAGTAGATTTTAAAACGACTTAAACTAAATAATATAGTGTTGATGCGGGTGCCTAAATAGTGGCAGTCTTGTTGGCTAAAAGTAAGAGTGGACTTGCTCTTGAAAGAAGCAATTTCAACTGTTTTGCGAGAAACCGAAAGAAATGATTCTAAAAACAAGAAATAATTGTTACACAATGTAGAGTCAACGGATTTAATTCCTAGACAACGCATTGCTTACGAGTTATGTGATCAGAAAAATCGTCTAATACCTTGCGACGCCCTTTTTTTTTTTTATATAAATGGTGGTCGTGCGAAGAAGACAGTGCACCATATACGACTTGCATTATTCGAAAGGTGCGATGTGCGCTGCAGGGGTCAAAATAGTACCGGAAGCGTTGTTGACAGCGATAGGAACACATGATGGAAGCATAAGACATGCCGGGGCGATATTAAACTGGCCATTTGAGGCGACAACGGTGCCGGAGTTGAAAAGTTGGTTAAAATGTAGGAATGCCCGCACATCAGGCAAAAAAGAAGAGCCATTAAAAAGGTATGTTACACGATATTTTCTTAAATACAAGACCAAATACAAAACCCTAGTGTGGTCATTATGTAATTATGTTCACCTGAGTCATTTATTGGGGAGATAAATTTGTCACCTGGTTCAAGCAGTTATCTGATACAATCTCTGAGGTGGGCTAGTGCACTGTACAGGTAGGCCTAATTAGTACAAGCTCACTGTCAATATCAGTGCATCTATCATTTGTTTCTTCTTCATTATCTTTCTGTTGTGTATCCAGGTAGATTTCGGTTACAAAAATAAGACTAGTCATGTCAATTTTCTGTTTTGTCATCAGTCTAATATGTATGTATGTAAATAAATCACTGTTATAGATGTGTTGATGATGACTTTAATAAATATTTTCATGACTATTAAATGTTTTACTTGTTTTACAGGTGAAAACTGTACAGTGAGGCTAGAGAGAGAAACAAAATATTGGATCCAGACGGCAGAGAAAATTAGAAGTAGACCTACCAGATTGAAGTTTGAATCAAGACCGTGGAGAATGGACCAAGTCCTTGAAAGGAATTCCCAAACCGTTTTTTTTTTAAATATTTGCCTATTAATAAATACAATTCAATATTTTGTTTCACATTTTTATTTTGCATAATAAAACCAATGATGTTGCCTTGGAAATATCTTTCCAAGGTACCTTACGATATTTCTGATTCATGTTTTAAAATGCAATGTTTTAAACATTTTCTAGATATGTTCAAGTGCATTGTGATAATAAAAATGAGATATTTGGTAAAAGTGTTCTCTTTTTTGTTATTTGCATAAGTAATATACCATTCAATACTCCTTCACAGTCAGGTTTAAACCTGGTTTTAGTATTACTCAGGTCTAAGTAATGTCGATAACAATACTCTAAAACCAAAGTAAAACTAAAACCAGCTTTAACCTTGCTGTGAAATCAAACCAAAGTTTCACATGACAGTTTTCATGCCATTTTTTTATACTGAGGTAATGTCAGGGTATAAAAAGTCATGAAAATTTTTAATTTCTCGTAGGTTTCAAGACCGATGTAAAATTAAACTATTTCAGGTTTGTTGTCCATAGACTTTATGCTGAAAGTATGTTTGTCAACTTCCTCACGTGCTTTGGACAGTTGTTCCAGCATTTTGTGTACTTTTTCTCTGTCACACTATTTCTTTATGCATCTTTTTTTTTTATTATTTTTTTTTTTTTTGCTCGTTGTAATTCCACTCTTGTTTCCGAAAGTTTAATTTCTAAAGATCAGATTTTCTGTTCCATACTGAAAATAATATGTTATTTTTCCTTAACTGTCGTTAAAAGCGCATCTGAGCCTGCATCTGATATAATGCTGTAGGCATCGGGGTCTGTATTTGAGAAGCCATTTTCGTCCTCGCTGTTCAACTTCTCACTTGCCGCCAGGTTCACTAAAATTTGTCTCAGAGTTTTCAACATTTAAATGTCTAATAATTTTTTTCGGGGCTTTCAAATCTTCGATTTCTTGAATGAAAATATAGTTGGTCTCCCACCCAAATACGATTTATTCCCTCCTTCAAAATGAGCACTACACACACGGTGATGCTTGGCGGGCTCGAACTTACTAAATTTGCCTTCATTTCCCGCTCGTCCAATATTGTCAATCCATATACCTCTCTTTTTTGGGTCCTTGGGGAAAGCATTAAATGAAAAATTTCGATCTCGCTCCGTATTGTTGAAACAAACAGGCACAAAACACATAGAACCGCCGAGAGGTATTTTATTTCTGTGTACAGAAATGGCGGCAACGCAAGATGGGTCCCACTTTACCCACAATGCATTGCGCTCAATATCGAAAACGAGACGAATAATGCAAGTCCTATATAAGAATTAAACGCGGCGTTTTCAAGGTGAAACGATGTTTTTCTCAAGCCAGCACGTAGCGCGAGTCTTGTTAAAACAAGAAGTTGAAGCTGCAGTGGGACGCCAACACCACTTTATCATTGACTGTTATGTAATCCGGTAAAGGACGCGTGGCTCGTAGAATCATCTAATAAGATCGCTTCACCTAATTAAAACCTTGTGGATCGTGCTTGCGTCATATAACTTAAATTGACTTATTTCATTATGGATTTGCCGAGCAATACTAAACATTTTCCTCAACAGTTTACCGGGCGATCTCGACAGCGTGACCCTCACATTGCAGGGCATGACTTGTGTATATGCGCAGACCCTGCCTGTTATGAATATACTAAAGCTGTCGTGGTTTAATATGTTCCTGAAAGTTTCACGTTACACTGCTAACATTTCCATAGACGGGCCACCTTTCACAGTAAACTTATTTCCAAAACATCAACTACATTCCGTACATTCTGTATCAGGATGCGCGTATGCAATAACCTGTTGCACTTTTTGGTAAATGTATGCGCTATTAGCGCAAAAACGTGACCCAACCTAATCCCTGATAAAGTAATGAACACTTTGCAGGACTGATTTGGCAGAGCATTTGTTTTGCGGGGTTTTTATCAATAAAAATGTACAGCCAATAATTATCTATGATAAACTTTTTTCATGTCATGACTCAATTGTTTGTGCAGGAGTATAACCACGTGAAACATTCAATATACCTAACAAAGACATAACTGCAGTTTATTTCTTAATATATTCATACCAAATGTTTCTTTAACATGTAAAAATTCCATAAAAATCAGAAAAAAGTTTGTAAACCTTATAATTAGTCGAGTATTACAAAACCTGCAATTAAATTTAATTAACAGGAGAGATAACATTAATCATGACACTAAATTTCAAAAAGTGAATATCAAATTATTGGAATAAAATACAATATTAAGAATATCCACAAATACATTAAAATTTAAAACTTAGGGGTCACAACAACAAGAAGATAAAAATAATAATAACAACAATATAAAGAGTCTTAAAATGGGCAAACATTGTGTCAATTTTTCTCTCTTGATCTGGTGTACTTCTAAACGTGCTCACACCACAAACTGGTTTAACCGATACCACGTAGCACCTGGATCTTCAAGGTTATATGATTACCCAAGTCAGACTCATTTCTTTCTTAAGTAGTTCTGTCTTAATATCCAAACTGAGTTTTTACTGCATCTTAAATTTGGCATTTAGTTTATTTAACCCAAAAAGTCTCTAACTGGCTTTTTTTAATGCAAATTGTTACTTTAGTGGATGCTGAAAATAAATTATACTTATAAAATCAAATAAAAGTCTGCTACTAGTAAACACAAACATACATCCATGTGGAGACCACAAACAGTATGGTCCACTTAAAGTATACAATTTCCTGCTTTCAGCAAGTGGCAATAATAAGTCAATTATACAGAGAACTCTAATCATATACTCAATATGCATATCAAATATTGTTATTTGTTGAATTATTCAAACCAAATTTACTAAACATATTTCTAGAATTATATCAATTTGTTTGGAAATTTTCAAAACTAAGCTTCTTATGGTGGTCAAGATTAAAAAAATTAGTTGTTTGCGGAATAAGTTTAAAATCAATTCTGGTGCTTAGATTCCTACAGCATCAATTTGTTCAGAAAAAGAAAATGTAAAAAATCAATTCTCTAAAAGGTCAGTTATTTGTATTTGAACCATTTTCACCCTGAGCCTCTTGTTGCAGTGTCTTCAAATCAATACTGGAAGGAATGGTGACCCCTGCCCCTGTGTGGAGACCAAGAATCACCAGTAATCTCGTCCACATAAAGTCCACCATCTCCAGCTCATTGGAAGTCTCCTTGGTGGCCTTCAGAACATATCTGAATGACTCGTCGATAATGGCAATGAACATATTGATCAGCGTCACCTGGATTATCATGGCAAAGGTTATCAGAAACACAATACCAATGACACGGTTTGAGTCTCCCAGAATTGCAAACTCAAATCCTCCCATGATCAGAGTGAACAAAGTCTGTAACGTGTCTATTAAGGACTTGAATTTTTCAATGTAGTGACCAAAAGCACATTGCCCAAAGAAGGCATAGGCCATCATGAGGAGAGCTAGAACTAGATAGAAATGTAGTGTAGGTTTCCATGATTTCTTTAAAGTGGCAGACAACATGTTCATGCGGACATTAAACCGTAGCAGCTTGAAAAACTTAAGCACTGTCAGCACCAGCATGGCAGCCAAGGTGTAGCCCAGGATGTAGTCCCAGAATGCTGCTGGGAAAAAGTTCACAAATTCCTCTCTGCCATGTTCATGGAAATTGGCAATGGTGAAGTTCACTATGACTAAACGTTGAAAAAACAGACCAATAGCTGAGTATCCCAGGCAGGCAATTGCCACCTCTATGTAACTCCAAGGATCTGAGAAGTATTCCTCAGAACCAGTATTTCTGAATTTGCTGAACTCTCTGTATGTGGATGTCAGTATAAACAGGATGAACATAACTTCACAAACTGCGACAAAGATTTCCAACCCATTCCTGAAATGAAAATAATTAAAAATAAATAATAAAGAGATTGATACCTGATGAAACTTACAGAAATGATAAATTGCTGATGAATAAAATTAATGATGAAGATTTATCAAATCACCACCTTTCTGGCAACAAATGTATACCTACTGACTTCAGGGCTGTTGTTATAAATTTGTTCTAAATAAAATTTCATTTTAACTGTATCTCTTTACTTGCATTGCTTTATAATGTATATTTTATAACACTTTATTCATTTTATACTAAAATTATTATTATCCTATATACATATGTACTTAGTAGTTAGAAAGCCTTAAAATTATAAGTTAATCCAAAAATTTTAAAAATAAGCACATAAGCCTCCACTTTATCTTTAACACTCGTTCTTTATGAGTATTAAGGTTAATTGCTAAAGATGTGATAGAACAAGAAGACAGCCCCAGCAATAACTTACCCATATTGGTAAAATTTACATGTAAAGATTTGATAGAAAGGGAAGATGGCCCCAGTGGGGTGGAACTCAAATAGTAACTGTGCCACACTGAACAGGTTAACCTGGGGGTTGTACAGGGTAAACTCCAAGAACACGGCACGTGTCCTCTGGTCTAGCCACTTGGACTCCTGCAGGTCCGCAAGAATTGACAAGCTTTTATTTCTGGTGTCACCAAGGAGTTTAACATATCCTCCACCTAAAATATCATATACATATAGTCATAGAGAGTTTTTTTTTCCTCCAGTGTCATCAAGGAGTTTTACACATCCTCCAACTAACATGCTAAAGTATGGATACAGAGAATGTTATTTTTTTCTTACTTGAACCAAAAATGTGCCCTCCAGGTTCAAAAGATACATGTATGGTCGTGTATTGGTTTATTACAACAGCTTTAACATTCTAATCAATATTTTCATTCCATTGGTATTTTTCTTGTCAACAAATTCAGCATAATACGGATTCAACAAAGACAGCCCAATAAAAACACAAGTAAATATAGTAAATATCTAAGTTAAGGCAAATAGCAGCAAAAGATAGAGGGAGATGGTGAAGGATGCTGACAAGTCTTGAAGAGGATAAGTAATAGTAAGCAATATAAGCATGAATAAAGGACATACATTTTCAAATTAATTACTTTAAAATAAACATTTACGCTATTCTAGAAAAATCAAGCCACAAGTACCTGTAGCAGTTTGAATTAACCATTATTATGCACTTGCTACATGTATAGTCAAAGAGAGAAATAGTTTACCATTGTAAGTGCCATGTTTTCCAGCAAATGGAAGTGACCTCAGCTTGAAAGCAGACTGGTATGTCCACTGGTCAGTGGGGTGGTCAGTTGTGTTGACCAGGGGTGTCCATGAGGTGTTATAGTCCCTGCTGTCATCAGTGCCCCATTCATATCTCACTGTACAGGAGTGGATTATGGACCGGAAGGTTGGGGGCACATCACAGACATCTGAAATACAAGAGATATGATACAGGAGCTCAATGAACTCACTACAACTGCAGGGTCATAATACGACTACATACTCTCACAAAGTCATAACATACCGTGATTTACGAATCCATTTATATAAATAATTTAACATCATTTCAAACTATACATAAAATTTTAAGGATATCATAGCTAAAGAACAGTTTCATAACTTTAACAAGAAACACATTAAGTAGCTTGAAATATAAAATTAAGTCTAGTGTCTAACCTTCACGGCTCAGTTATCAGTACATTTGCTGAACATGTATTTACATCTGTAAGTATAAAATTCTCTCGAGTAAGTTAAATTTGGAAACAGGTTTAATATTTAGTAAAAGAATATTAAATCTCTGTAAGACTAATAATCAATTTGTTGAAAGTACTGAAATCAGCAAAGTAATGAAAGGGAACTTGTTAACTAAAGTCAGTGATCATGAAGTCTATCTGTGGTACATGTATCTACATTTTCGTTGGAAGTGGGTATTCAGCGTCCGTGCCCGGATATGGGGGAGGAGGGTCTTCATAACGGGCGGTATCTGTTGTCTGTGTTTTTGAGCTATAGGCGACGTTCGCTGGTTGAGGTGTCTCTGGCTTACACGCTGTATTTGGTGGAGGGGCATACATGTCTGGGTACCCTTGCGTTGTCGAGGTCGTGTTCAACATTACTGTGTAATTTTCTGGGGGCTTGGTCACTGTAAAGAAATATAAAATACCCACTGCGGTTAACAGTATTTGTCATCAATGTAATATCATTATCTCAGCTTAAAATGAAACAAATGATTCGCACACATGAAACACATTGGAGCGAAAGAATACCTTAATCATTGATTTAAAAATGGAATAAAACAACGAATTCTAGTGCAGGGATGGGATCGAGGAATGATTTGTAAGTAGGTAAATTTTACCCCCCCCCCCCCCGAGGATTTTTTAAAGGTTGGTTATTCCCCTATTGTGTACCTTTAACCCCACTCAGAAACCCGATCGTACCTCGCTTTTTAAATGTGTATTTTAATGTTCGCCCCCCCCCCCCATTTTTAAATTCAGTTAACTGTGTTTCTAGCTCTTACCTGTTCCTCGCTTTTTCTTACACCATATGATACCTCCTATGACGAGCCACAGGACGACCAAACCGGCCACAATGCCAATTACTGTTCCGCCACTGCAAAGACATTGTTTCAGTCTATATATCTGAAGATTATATTCTTGAAAGCAAGATTTCATCATTTAATAGACAAAACAAAAATGCAATGACCCTAGAAAAACACTTTGATCGTACATGTTAAGAAAGTCGTATGAGTGAAATAAGACATTTACGGATGCACATCTCTTATAAGAAAAAAACATGAACGTACACAGTTAAGAACCCTGATGAACGAGTATTCGAACTCCAGCCACTCCAGCTACTCCAGCTACTCCGATTCTTCGAGGTGGTGGGGCACGAAGAAAGATAATGATAACTTCGGTTGTATCTATCTTTGAGCGAAGGGCAGCAGTATTTTCTGGTAGATGTCCCGCAGCAGTAATTGGGACAGAAGAACGGGTTTCTGTAACTGCCAGATGATGTAAAATATGCGCAGCAATATTCTCCTGGATCTACTTTAAAACCCCATACCACTTCGGAACCTCTAGTCGGTGGGATTGGGGTGGGGCAAGCGACCCTGGAACTGTAGCTCGGATAGTATCTCCGATCGGCCTCGGCACAGCAAAACTTGGGCTGATATTTATACTCCGTTGTCCCGCAGCAGTACTTGGGACAGTAGAACGACTTTCTGTAAGTGCCATATGGAGTGAAATATGCGCAGCAATATTCACCTCCGCTCACTAAAAAGCAAATACGATAAATACAATGCAGGGCATGTTTGATAATGAGTCATATCTGATTATTTTCTCAAATATGCTATGCTGTTTTTCTGATTGCTATTATTCTATTTAAGACTGTTAATACAATAATACGCAGAATAGGCTTATTCTAAAGTAGATCTGCCAGCTCAATAGCTGGAACATAGGCCTGATAAGCTTATTGTCTCATTTCGTTTTTAAGTCTTTTTTATGTATCCCCTCGTGTTTTACATACAACTGTACATTTGTAATTGTTGGGCTATGTTTTGGAGTTTGTTGTGGCATCTCAATACAGGTTTCATTCTGACTGTAATATATATATATATATATATATATATATATATATATATATATATATATATATATATATATATATATATATATATATATATTCCAGAACCTTTTTGTGTGTTTTTATTTTCAGATGGAGGTTACTTTTTATGTTGAATGACGTATGGCAGCATGCCAGTGATAACCGCATGTTTACATACTAAAGGGTTCTAGGACATGCAGTGACATAGCTGAAACTTTTATACGAGTAAATGAAGAGAAATGTAGACGGACAAGCGATTTTAATAAATAGGTTTAAATTTCAAAGAAGTAAACTATGCAAAAAGGGAAAGCTTAGGGTCTTTTTCTATTTAGCAGTTGCTACAGTGTATCTATCAAAATAATTTACGGCGCCCTGATATCTGCACTGTCCTGATGTGGTTGTTGATGTGCTTGTGTGACATTCCGGACATTTTTCTCGTCTCTCCACAGTTAATGTTTTAGTATATTTGCCTTAACTGCTTTCCAGAATCATATCTGAGCGAACCGGACCAGACAGGTTCCAGAACCTAGAAAATGGGCTTCTTTCTATTACATTCATGGCATCGTGGGCCTACTTGCTTTTTTTTTTTTTTTTTTTTTTTTGAAAATGTTCAATAAAAATTAATATAAGACGTTCCTCGTAGAAAACCCTTCGTCTATTGTGTCGTGAAGAGATATACTAACATTTTATTCCTAAAGTGTTCATTAATTGTGATGCGAAGGATGTAGTCGCCCAGTCACTGTTTAGATTACCATATCGGTTTTAGAGTACTAGTAATCGCCTTAGCTATTAATTTTAGACTAGAGATGAACGCATATGTAACTGACACTATAACTCAACTGATGAAATGTAAGTCACCTTTAACATTGTTCTTGCTCCATCCCGGAAGTGTCCGAATGTATTCCGACTGTCATGTTTTTTAGATAGATGTAACACGCCAAGGTCATTATTAAATGAAGTAGATCTGGTGCCTAGTGATAATATTAATTGATAATTCAATAAATTAATGGCGTTCTGGAGTCTTATCAAGAATAAGGACCCCAACCCCTTCATATTTGGGTCCTCTCTTCTTTACCCCCAGGGGGAATGCTTTATACATACACAGATTGCTATTTCATTTACTCTGAATAAGCAGTTGCACAAAACATTTAAAAAGATTTTTTTTGGTAAAATATCGGCAATCAAGCAGACAAAATTTAATATTTAATTGCATATATCGTTAGTATAGTCGTTTACCGAAAAGCTGTGACTAAACTGAAATCCTAATTGGCAAATTTTCCTTAAGTAAGCGGACATCCATGTACTCCACTAAACATTCCTTAGGGGTTGCTTACCTCGTCACTCTCCACCTTTAATTGTCTGTAAGCAGGGGGTACTCGTCAGCTGACTCTTACATATAGCACGGGTGCAGCGTACATATACACTGCGAAAAACAACATTTGGTTTTATGAGATGTGTCTTTCGGCCATCATTCTAAGATGGAGTATCGGTTTATTAAGCTTATGCTACATCTGTATTGCTAACACGTAGTTCTTTAGTGGGTTGATATTTACTACGTATGTAATCGGAGCTCCCTTTTGACCCACTTTTAAATGAATGACACATACGACTTTAGTACACAAGTTTTATGACGCTACGCTACGCTCTTATTTTTATTATTTTTTTTTGGGGGGGGGGGGTCACCGTAGTATATGACATATGGGGCACTAAATAAGATTAGATAAGAGTCCACTTTACGTACCTGTGTGTATGATTGCCAGCAAGGTAAATAGACCAGTCAACACGACTTTAGCATTGACAGCTGTTGCCATTAACAAAAATAATATCGCTGTCACGTCGTTTACAGTTCCTTGTATCCCAAAAGTACTATGATTTCTGGTTGTCTCAGTATTACGATTGTTTATTTCTGTATAAAATTGCTATAATATCCAAGTTCGATGCTGTCTCGGTGTGCGTCTTGCGTATACTGACAAAGTTCCTATTTTGTAAACATTATATAGCTGAGTCTCTCGCTTTAATAGGATATGCGGTATTAGTCATTTACTTTGGTGTGCACAGGAGCACGTAATCTTATGCACTCCTTTAACCGTATTTTATATATGAAAAGATGTGCGTAGGAAACAGATTAAAAACACTGTCAAAATGCTATAGGTCAGCGAATCATTTCCGTTTTTGGGGCTTTTAATTCCTTTGCTAACCTTTCTCCGTCTCAAGTCGCATATTGCAAAGGAGTCAACCATTTTTGTCGTCGACAACGCTACGAAAAGGGTGAGGTTCACCTTTTCCTTAAACCAGTCCTGAAGACATATACAGCATTGAAAGATAGCATTCAGGCCTGTAGCCAGCAATTTCAAAAGGGGGTTCTTTTTTTCTGAAAAGGTGGACCTTTTACAACGAAACCTTCATATACCCAAATAAAATTTTACCCTGAAGGAACCTTTTCCCGGCCAAAAGGGGGTTCTTTAGACCGCCCTCCCCCGCCCCCGGCAACGGGCTTGAGCATGAAGGGTGCCTTCTTTATGTGAAAAGTAACTAAGTCAAATTGTGTTTCCGCCCGAAAACAAACTAATGTGCAGTCTCGTGTACAATGTAAATCGCTTGTCCCACGTAACCTCGGAAACAAATGCGAGAGTTTGTGTTCGAACGAAAACGATTCCTGACTGACTTGTATTATTCCTATACTGAAGTAGGTTAACGGCGGTCTTTATGCAAATATCTTCTCTTTGCTGTTGCTCAAAGAGGTTGTCACACAAAAGGAAATTTTCAAAATCTGGAGCATGTTTTTTTATGGTGAAGGTTGGGGTGGTGGAGGTGGTTTTAAACTTTGGTACAAAATAAAGAAGGTGCATTCTGAAGGTTATGGTCGTCAGTCGCCTGTCAATTGTTCATTTGAAAATAGCGCCTGTTGTATGATGTACCTGTAAACATGACAGGAAAATGCTTTAGTGGTGAAAAGTTGATCTGTTGGTTTCGTATAACCTACGAGCATTTATCTATCTTGGATGCCCGCTAGTAAGAAGTCACAAGTGACGCATGCGCAATCCGCTTATATTATGTAACAACTACAAGAATAAATACAAACAAGTATGGCCAATTTTAGCCAGAGGTCGCTGATAAGAACATGCTTTGAAATGCTTTGGACATTAACTGTTCAATCAGTGGGGAGTGACCTACAGTACAACGTGAGAAGATCGCCAATCTACGAGAAAAACACGAAGTCGTAGTTTAGGGTTTTATTTTGGCGATCTCTGTGAAGTTGTTGTACCTGTATATAAAGATTTTTGCGAACTCTTCACAGTAATCACAGTGACATGCTTGTATTTCTTTGTTTCAACACCATGGAAAAGCAACTTAAGTTCATGTTTACATGTGTGATACCTTTGGTGGCAATAATACAGTTAGGTACGTACATTTCTAAAGAATTAATCTTGTTACAATTTAAAAAACACTACAGGGTTACCACTTAATATGGAATATTTTTTATCATTGTTATTTTTGAGGGCTGATTTAAAAAAAATTGGCTTGATTCATCAAAAACGTATGCCATTGAGTGATAAAAATATCCAGTCTTCTATTGTTAGATATTTTGGTCAATAATATCAAATCTGACATAAGATGTCATTCAAAAGAAAAGAACACCCCCAGAAAACCATATCAACAGTTTGATGTCAGTATTAATTTTAAGCTAAGATATTAAAGAAAATGATAGCCTCCCGACAGTGATATTTTACACAGTCAAAGAAATCATTACAGTAAATCATGAAAAGTCATCAATAGCAGGTATGACCTCCAGCAGCCGCTTGCAGCGCCCTCATCCTACATGGCATACCTTGTGAAAAGTTTTTTAGAGTTTGGATGGGGATATCATTCCACGCAGTGATATTTGCCTGTCGCAGTTCATCACTATTTACCGGCCAATGACCATAACTATTAATTCTGTGTGTTACTTCCGCCCACAGACTTTCAATTGGGTTCATATCTGAGGAGTTTGCAGGCCAGGGCAGTTGCTGAACCCATTGGTTTCGAAGAAAAACAGTGATTCTGCGAGCTCGATGTGGGGTTGCGCAGTCGTCTTGGTACACAAAGTTGTTTCTGGAGATGACTCTTACAAATCAAAGCATTGTTTGCTGTAGAATGTCTCTGTAGGAACCCTGGTTGAGGTTGCCTCCTAGAAAAGCCAACTGGTTCTGGGCACCGGCATAAAATGCTCTTCAAACAGAGACGTTAACACCCCCTGCTTGCACCCTAGCCAGTACACAATCATCGTTTTATGCCTCTCGTACACGTCGGCGGACACGGGTTCGACCATCAACCCTAAAAACTCCATATCTGGCCTCATTACTGAAAACGACGTGATTCCAATGTTTTGGCTGCAAAGGCACGTGTCCCCAGCCTATTGCAGACGTCGCTGTGTATGACCTGCTGTTAACAGTGGTTTCCCTACTGGCCTTCGTGCAAAATAACCGGCTTGCAGTGATCTCTTGTTCACGAGGGATCTTGAAATGGGCGTTTGAATGACCTTCTGCCCCTCTTTTCTGAGGACACTGGTTGTCTTTGTACGACCAGCACGGCGCACTCTGAGGAGAAGGCGATCCTGTCTTCTTGGTGTGATACGCGGACACCCTGGTCGAAGTATTGTAGTTGGTGCCCCTTTTGTAGCTTTTCTTTGGAGGACTTTACTAACGGTTCCTGATAAATGTTGCATTGCCTGGCAATAGCTGTCAGTATCTGGCCATTTTCTCCGAGAGCAAGATTCCCATAGTAAGCTGCGTTGCTTAGCTGTCGAACCATATCTTCTTCAAGGTACCTGTCAAGTTTCAGAGCGATATCTTTGTTGCTTCTCTAAATACACTCCAAAGATTGGCCAACCCATGCGTTTTTATACAAGGGCAGAAATTACCGAAAAGACCACCCCTCACATTTCTGACCACAGAACATGCAACTGCATGCATCAACTGTTTCGACAGTTGTATGGTAATTAGGTAACACACCTGGCTACACATGGAGTGACACCTCAGTTTTGGATTTAAAGTAGTTAGAGAGAAAATGAATATTTTGTAGAAAATAAACTCGCCAAAAAATAATATTCCATATTAAGTTGTAACCCTGTATATGGTTTTTAAGGCGTACTGAGCGAGTAAAAAACTTTTTATTATTTTTTTCGGAACTTAATTATATTAATTACAAAGGCATTTAGAACCCAAAACATCTGAAAAAAATACTAAAGTCAATTAGAAGTTCTTAATTTTATATTAATACATTGACGAGTGATATTTACTGGTCTCTTTCTCCATTTAAAGGTTAACTCAAAATTATTAAAAAAAATTAAACGCCATCTTTTTGAGACTTTCTTCGCACAAGTATTTTAATACCATATTTTTTTCTTTTCAAATATTTGCTCCCCCTAATATTATTCGAATGTGTATATGCATTATAATAACTCCTGATAATAATTCCTTTAAATGAATGGCATTATTTATACTTAAAGGGTTTGCTTCATGCCGTCAGAATGGCCT